AGTTGGTGGGATTGTTTTTGTCTGTCTTGATGGCCAGTATCTGGTTAAGAGTTTGTTTGTTTGGGAGCCGCACTTTGGGAGCTTGAGTGGTAAAATAGCACAGAGTTATAGTTTGGTTTGCTTAAAGTTTCCCGAAAGTTAATTTGAAATGTTGCTGTAGTTTTCCCTTAATTGGCTAAGTACCAATTGGTACTTCCAATTGGATGTTTTAAATACAATTCATTTAAAAGAATTTATATAAAACTATAAGTCTTATCAAAAAACCAAGAATATATTTTAAATATTTGCTTTTTAATTTATTTATTGAAATTATAAATCATTTTAGAAAATAATAGAAATAAAACATTAGCTATGCTGACTTTACAATATGTTTTTACCTTATTCCCCTTCAAGATCTGGTTCCTGATCATTTCTTGCATTCCCGTTCCCTCATTTGGGACCCCTCGAAATGCAATCGAATGGCAATTGGCATGCATTATGCGGACAGCTATTAAAAAGCATAGAGCACCCTTGCCACTTGTTGGGATATGGCATATACATTGTAAATGCATAGTTGTGGTCATAAAAATAGCACTCTATATAAAATTATATATTCAAAAACACATTATATGGAACCTAGGCTATTTCTTATATAGATACATTTGGGAAAAGAGGTAAGTTGTTTCAATCCTTGATGATTAAATTAAACTTATTAAACTATTTCCACAAGCTAAGAAACTACTAAAGTTTTGACCGCCACTGTACAAACATGCATATGTGTAGGGATATAGCCAGTTGATCTAGACCCCAAGTCGTTAGTCGCAAGTCGGTGCTTTGTTGTAAGTCTCTTTGCCTGTCACGTAGGTCATGGAGGGGCACCCTGACCCCCCGGAACCCCCTTTACAAGTGCTTACCAACTAGCATAAACAACAACTACAGACTGACAACCGTTTTACAAGGAGAAACCGCAGACAACGAAAAACAAAAAGAGGCGAAAAGACGACAGACGCACCCAAGAGTTAAGGCCCCCAAGACTCACACTTCTTGCAGTAATACACCACATATATTGCATATATGTGGGTATAGTACAGTATGGCCCATGGTGTGTGGACTGGGCTCACAGCTGCACAGTTTGTCTGGGTTTTGTAGACCCCCTTTTAGACCCCCCCTTTGGAGTTATTGTGGCGGAGACCAATTAAAATGCGCGACATCACATGTGCGCGGGCATTTATTATAAATTTTTCGTTGGAATTGAGTGAAAAATAGTTGAATGAAAGAGCGAAAAGAAAGCAAAGTAAAAAATACATGCGGGAGTGGTTATAAAAAAGGGAAGAACAGGAGTAAAGGGGTCGAAGTGGTTAATAACCTGGCTTAAGTCAGAATGGATAAATGCATCATGAGATCCCACATAACTTTGATGATCATAGTATATACCTTTTCTAAAACAAAGGCTGTGTGACCAAAGTTCGTAGTAAAACACTCGAAGTGTGACCATTTGAAAATGAAAGTAGAGCATATGTATAAAAACTGATTTTAGCTAAAATCGAAGAAATGCATGCTCAGACACTATAGTCACATTGCAATAAGGAGTATATAAATGCTGGTTTCAGTCGTAGAACTTGGATCGAAATAGTAAAACCCTCTTCTTAAATATAAAAGAATAAAACATATAAATTCATACATAGTGAAAAGTGGGAAAAATACTAATAGTCACAAATGAGCAGCAGGGGAGTTAGGGGAAGTAAATTGGGGTGTTGGGTGTGATGGGGCTACTATGTCTGGCTATCCTCCTCGCCATGCATGTTACAATGTTGTTAATATGACGCTTAGTAGTTATCTCACACCAGCAGTCCGTTCTCCGCTCGCTTTTACCCCACATCCATTGACAATGTTTTTCAAATTGACGACGCATATGACGGTGGACGGGGGTGTAAAGAGGGTTGCCGAGTTGCAGAAGTGATGTAAAATTATTGGCATGCGAACGATGCTGCAGCGTTTATTAAATTTTTCAAGTGCCACAACAAAGAGGGGGTGTACTATACAAGGTATGTTGTCATGCTGGAAAATTATTTGGGATCCAATGGGTGTGTGCGGGTTTGTTTGAAATTTTATGTTGTATTAATTTTACAACTTTACATTCTGCAGGTTGCAACGGGGCGGGGTCTGGTGGATAATTTTTCATCAAATTTAGTTGATATTTTACGGTACTTTTCACATAATTTTCTCACCATGAGTCAGTTATTTAAAGCTTTTATTAACAGTTAGGTATTTAAGCAATATGTCTGAAGAAAAAAAGGAAAAATATTTTAAGGATATATTGTTTAATTTTTTAATTACAACATGTTTATTTATACCTTTATACCAGTTATTTAACTATAAACTAGAAAGTTTTCAATTAGAAGCACTAAGTAATAAGAGACTTCTTTGGGAAAAACAACAACCAAATTGAACACAACAATTGTTCAATACTTAAGATAGCAGGCTAGTCCATTGCAATCTCGCCAGCATATTCGTGAAAGATTTTCCCTTGCACGGCTGATAATATATAAATACATTGTCTAATATTTGCCAATGCTCCGAGTGGCAACTGAAACTGAAACTGGAAAACTGCAGAGGAACCGGAAATGCAGAAGGGGGAAAACCCCAAGAAAGGGAGCTTAACTGTCGTCTGGGGTTTTTAGAAATTTGTTTTGCTTCGCTCTGTCTTTGTGTCCGCCCTTTTTTGTATTTTTTTTTTGTTGGCAGCTCTGCTGCTGCTCTTCATTGGAGCTGTGAACAAGTTTTGCCAACTATTTGAGTGAGTTTTCCATTTCATGTCGCCATTCTTATATTCAGTTTCCTCTACTAGTACATTCCCCCATTAGGGAGCCAAGCAAAGAGCAAACAAAAGACAATGCAGTTGGATTTGGATCTAACCCCCCGAAAATCCCCTTTTCGCTTCGAGGCGAAGCTGCAATACTGCACTTAGCCAAGATAAGTTAAACCTAAGTTGAGGCGGAGTGTCGGCGGTATCCGGCAGTTGTTCAACTGTATCTGAGTTGCAGTCTAAGGCATCCCTCGGTCCGCTTTCTCTTCTCCTTCCCCTTATATTTCCATTTCCGTTTCCTGTTCATGTATTGGCCAAGTTTGTATTAAGCCGAGTGGTAAACAAAGATATTCACAACCAAGTTACCAGTCACCATATACAGTTACCATATGCTTATGCAAAGCAAGCTCTGCTAAGCCGCTTACGCTTATGACTTTCAGCCTGCCAACCTGACCGAACTTTAGTTTCCTAACTAATGCCATGTAATGAGTTCGTTAAACCTGAGAAACTACCGGTTCCATTATGAGGTACAGTCACGCACACGGCAAATGCGGTTGAAGTTGGGGCTTTTATTCTTCTTATTTGATTGCAGTGATAACTTTGCAGTGTCGCCAAAGTTTTTGAGTTTTTGAAGTTATTATTAAATCTGCAAACAACAAAACAACTCAAATATCTATAAAGAAAACTAAATAAAAGATATAATATGAATTGTTAAACAAATTATCGTTGTAGTGGATTTTCCCATCATTTTAAATAGTTTTTAAAGGCAATTATTTGTTAGAAAAAATTGTTGGTAATTTTCAGAGCAATGTTGTACAGGCGTTAAGTGTTGAAGAGCGTACTTAAAATGCTTGTAAACTTTTTAAATGATTATAAAATGTGCAAGCCATTTTCTAAATATTTAAATACTTATAAAAGAAATTAACAATAACATTTATTTTTTTTTTTAACAGAAGACCATTGTTGTGTATTTTCCCGCCAATCTGACCAGACTTTAAGGGCATTCTGTGTTGGAAAATTCACTTGGATGCACCCAAATAATGCACCATTGTGAAATGCAATGCGCTGTTGTCGAATTTCACCGGCTAATCAAGTGGCTTGTGAACCTATCGGGCTCCCTTCAAGCGTAAAGTTCCGGCAAAGCCTCGACGAGCACTGTTGCCAGTTTTCACACAAGCCCAAACAAATTAGAAACAATTTGCTGTAAAGTGCACTTCAAATCGAGAGCACAAAGGAGGAGTATGACCCTTAAAGGGGCCTGAAGTGCAGGAGAGCAGGACACAAGACACAGGACTCAGGACACATTTTGTCAAATCAAAAACTGAATTTGAATTTCAATCAACTCGAATTAAATCAAAATTTGCAAAATGATGTGAGTGCAAACACACACACACACGAACACACATGTATAGGACTTCATACAGAAGAGAAGAAGAAGAGTGCTCTGCTCTGCACAAAATTCGAATATAATTCTTATGAATGGGTCTGGTTTGGGGGTTCCCCCGACCGCAGCCACAACTCCAGAGAACTGAATTGGCGAAGGAGTTGCAGCAATGGAATCGGACTTTAGTCTTTGGACCGGAGACTTTGCAGCTGATGGCTTTTAGCCAGCCACAAAAATTCACAGCAAAGAAATGCTGAGAGGAAAAGCTGGAAAAGCTGAAAATGCCATCAGCCAGTAGTTCTAGTGGATCACAAAAGTGGAAAGTGTCCCCAGAATGTCAAGTCTGCTGTCTATAATTTAGTGGCATATTCAATTTTCCAACTGCCCTTTTCCTTTTCGACTCTTCGACTTGGCCAGCATTTTGCGCCACTTCCTGTCCTGTCCGTTGATTAAGCATTGCGCACACGTAGTGGCAATTGATGCCCCAGATTCGCGCACCTGTTGGTGTATGTAGCTCTCTAGCTCTTCAGTTTTCTAGCTACTGTCCACTGTCCACTGTCCATTTTTCACTGGGAAAGTCAATCGTCCACTGGCGGACTGGTGTCACTCGTTCTCGTTATGCTCCATCGCTTTTCCGTCTGCTCGCATTGATTTCCTCGCTTGGGCACGTAGATAAAGGTGTAAATGTTGACTGGGATCTGGTAATGCACAAACCGATTGCCAGATTGGCGTTTTGATGCATTGCCCACCATTGTTTGTGCAGTGTTTGGAACGGCCAGAAATAGTCGCGACATCTATCTTCACTTAACAAACAATGAAAAAAACAAAAGGTTGTGCAGAGTTTTATTTAACGGCTAAAAAATAATTTTGTATAATAGATTTGAGACCAAATTGTGTGGTATTTCGGATCGGATTTGGTTTAACCAGGACATAAATCCCTCAAGAGCTCCAGCCGAAGAGCCGTTGGAAGAGGCCGCGTCTGTGTTCCGAGGGGGCAGCTGCTGCTGCTGAAGCAGTTCGCGAGGTTGCCAGATTTTCGGCTGTGGATGGTGGTGTCTCCACCACCGATCTGTTGTTGTTGTTGTTGCTGGTCGGGGTCACTACCGACGGCGTGGAGGGGCGGCGATCGGGAATGGATCGGGCAAGGGGGGCGCCTGGAATCGAGGCGGCGACGGCGGCCGCCAAGGCCAAAGTGTCCTCCGAAGGACGCGAGGCCAAGGGCGTGGCGGTGGGCGGTTCCAATCCAGTGGCGGCCACAGGCGTAGGTGTTAACTGCGAAGAGTCCACCAGCTGCTGTTGCGGCTGTTGCGACTGCTGCGTCTGCTGCGACTGCTGCTGTTGCCGATTGCATTGACCTTTGCCCTTGCACTTATTACCACCGCTCGACTTGGGATTTCCCATCCTCTGGGGGATTATTAAAGTTCATAGTTGGATAAAAATTGAAAATCAAAATATTTCCCAAAAAAAAAAAAAAAACAAAAATTTAATACTCACGTAAATTTCCAAAATTTTGTTCGTGTAAGGCGGTGTCTCAGGCACAACTGAACGTCTGGGCCTAACCCAGGCTACGATCTTTGACAATTCGACTCCCAGCACACTAGATCCTTCAAAAATTTCACTGTGATTATTTGTACCCTTTTGGGATGGGTCTTAGTGAGCTAGATTTTAAATATTCATAGTTTCTTATTCGACATATGTTTATATTATAAACTTAATTATCACTCTGGAGGACCGTATCACAAACCGTTGAAAATTTTTAATTTTATTCAAAATGCCACAAGGTAACATTATTTTAACTTGAGATGTTTACGGTGCGTTCGTCACTGCTTTCTTATCTACTAAGGAAATAGAATGTAAACGTTGAAAATCGCCGCAAGGGATTTTTTAAAATTATTGATGTTAAAGATGCAATCGTCACTACGTTCTTATCTCAAAACGCGACGATGGAACATTTTTTTTTAATTTAGATTTTGAAGGTGTGCTCGTCTCTACATTTTCTATATTTTTATAAACTTATAAAATGTTGGATTTTTGTATTTTGTAGCTACCGCGTCAATGTCTGACGAAGTGCCTTTGGGTCGCCTATCGCAAATCTTCGATACGCTAACCAATCTCCAGCAGCAGCAACACCTGCGTTCTCAGGAGCAACTGCATCCGCATCCGCAGTCACATCCGCAGCAGGCGGCAACTGCGGAGCAACGGAGGAGATCCGCATCCTCATCGCCTTCGCCATCGGCCAGTGCATCGGCATCGACTTCTGGGCGGGCCACGCCTTCTTTGGGCGTGGCCAGCCCCTTAAATACACTGCAATACTACAGCCACGCCCACAATTATTTCCTAAGGCCGCAAGATGGCGCCAGCAGTGGCTACCTGCACACCTTTCCATCACATTTGTACCACTACCATCAGCAACAGCAGCACCACCACCACACTGGTAAAAAAAACGTAGCGAATCCAAGTATTTGCTACTCAATTTAAATATTTTTCTCTTTGATTTTTTTTTCATTGCCGATTTTAGTTATTCTCAAAGTGGAAATATTTTTAAAAATTTATATATACGCATTTGAAATCAAATAAAAACTTATATTTTTCACTTTAATTGAAGTATTTTAATATTAAATCATGCAATTTAATTTTCAATGTATTTAATATTACGATTTTATATTCAATTTAAATATTATAAGTACATACAATTTTGAATTCAATAGTCAAATTTTTATTTGTACTATTCAATTTTGTTATCAGTGTAGTATCAATAATTTAAATGTAAGCCATATTAAAATAAATAGGGCCCATTTTAAAACTAATATTTGCAATATAAATCAAATATTTTGATATATAATCTTGCAATTTAATCTTTGCTGTATTTAATACTATGCTTTTATTTTTATTATTTTTATTTTTGATCAAATAGCCTGGTATTTATTTGTAACATTCCATTTATTTTTATCAGTGCAGCTACACCATCTGCATCAGAACAGCCAACCGCCCTCGCTGCCCACCCAGTTGGGCGGGGGGCGTGGCGGCTGTCTATCGGGCTCACAATCGCTACAGGGATCACCACTTTTGGCCAAAAGGGCCACATCTTTCAGTGGCCAAATACCGCTGAATCAAGGTCGTTTTACCACCGGAGGAGGGGGATCCGGATCAGGCGCAACAATTGGCGTCACTGCGTCCACGCCAAACAGTCCGAGGCTGTTGCCCCGTCATGTGCCACGCCCACCGCCCATTCCGGCCAAGCCCAATCAGGCGATGAAGGCGGAACAACAACAACAACAACAACAGCCGAGGGATCCTCCTCCAAGGGATGCAAGTACCAATGTGAATCCCGTGCTGGCGGCTCTGGATGCACCGGATGCTCCATGGCCGCACTTCTCAACGCTCACCGAGCACCTGGACGTCCACCAGGTCAATAACTACGGAAAGGCACTGCCGGAGGTGAGTTTTCCAGGCTAAAATCGAATGGAATAACAACCTTTAATGCAACAATATAATTATGAGTAACCACGTTAATCAGCTAGCCAAATTCAATATAAATATGCGCCCGGAAAACAAACGAGTTTTAGGTGGCGCCATCTGCCGAATTGCAGGGTCACTACTAAAGGTTAAGTTTAGTTTTTTTTAAGTTAAATTTTAAGTTATGTTTATGCTAATAACTTCTAAAGTATTGGTAAGATTTGCAAACATTTACAACTTAATAACTGACATCTACTACATCCCAAACTGACATAACAGACGTTTGTGATTTGGGGGCGTGCTTAAGTTTTAAAACAAACTGGTGCTGTGTAGGCATAACTAAAATGTGTATGTTAAATCCCAATTCTGTGGCTTTGAGTAACAGGTATAATAATACCGAATTTCTTACTATATTATACCTTGCACTCTTGAATATAAGAATTGTTCCCAAGCAGCAGTTAAAGAACATTTTAATCACATTCAACTCAGGGTCAGCCCTCTATTAACCCCTTTCTGACCCTTGTTTCTTTTTTAACCTGCAGATAAATTGGCAGGAGCGATGTCTGGAATTGCAACTGGAGCTGCATCGGTCCAAGAATCAGGCGGGTCGTATACGCGATATGCTGCGTGAAAAGGTGAGTGAAATAGCTACCATTAACGGAGTGCAGTAAGGATATCGGAGGTCCAGACAGCAACACCCAAAAGTGGGTCGCTGGGGGATGTCTGATGATTAGCCCAAATGAGTTAATAAGTAAAAAGCAACACAGACACACCAACATTAATTACTGCGGAGGGTGGTGATTCCCCTACGTCTTGTGCTTAAATATGATTTATGAGTGCCACGGTTGAAACATTTTTACGACAACCAAACACACACACACACACACACACACAAACACTCGAGTTTCCATCGAGTGGCCAGGACAGTTTCCACCCATTTTCCACAGAGATATTGCAGCTAATTCGGCTGACACATGTGGCTGTGGAAAACGAGAGCGAAATTCATCTCGTGGCCCTTGCTCATTATTAGCCTAATTAAGTCATTAGGCATCTGGCCAAAAGGCGCCCGCCTAATGTAAAAACTATATGAATTATGTATTAGTCAAATGTGAACTATAACCCCCCTGCCCCCTTTCCCCCAGAAAAAAACTTCCCCAGAGGGTTCTCTGGTATTGCTCTCATCTGAGCCTGACACAAATTCATTTTACTTCAATGATTTTTGTTCCATGAATAATGCATGAATAGCTCTAGCCCCCTGACTTTTGGGTTGGGCACTGTGGGGTTAAAGGTTGAACACTGCAAACCTGTTTAAATCAGCTGTTTACTTTCAAGGTCAATTTGGTTAGGTTTCATTGTCTTAATAAATACTTATTTAACAATCGAAAAAGTCATTCAAAAAACAAATGATAACTTCGTTTATTTTAAACATAGACTGAAATACAGTCTATATTTGATAGGAAACATTAGAAAATTAATAGGAAAATCGACATAAATTCGTTGATTTAGTCATTAATAATAAAATATATGCAAATTGAACATCTATGTCATACAGCTGCATGAAATGATCAAATCGACATACATACATATATGTTTATAGAACATTATATTTTTGTTATAGCTGCCAGGGTAAACAAACATCTACTTGCCATTTCTTGTTTGTACTTGATGAATTTATTCAGCAAATAAACAACTAAATAAATGGCTAAAAACAAATCAATAAACTTTCCAATTAAAACACTAACCAAATCTTTTATGTGTAGTGCTCCAATGGGCAGCGAAAAATTAAAATTATTATATTCGACTTTTTTCAATATTCAATTGCCAATTTCCGAGCAGTCAAAACAGAAGTACAAAGTCAACAAAAAAATAGTACTAAAAATATAATGAAAAAGTAAAAAAAAAATAACAAACTCCATAACTCGATGGCTAAAAGTATGCAATGAATATTTCATTTCTGTTTTATGCATTTGCCATTTCCAATTTCCCATTCCGCATTTTGCCTTTGTCGTATGAGTTTTTGGCACCCTTTCTCCGTCTTTCCACCAGTTTACTATAGTTGACTTTTCAACTTTTTGCCAGCTGCAATTCAAGTGCATCATAAATTTTAAATTAGTTGCACTAAACTTGAAATCGTCTGGACACAACTCACTTGCATTCCCATTCCCATCTCCTTCCACTTCCACTTCCTCCCATCAAAAATGCCAAAGCGAGCGCCTTTTAATATGCAATATTATTTATACATTTTGCCCTTTCGCTTCATTTGGCAGGAAGAAAACGCAACTGGAAAGTTTCTCTTTCTGGAGTGCAGAAAATTATGTGCCAATTGAAATATGATTTCAAAAAGGTAAATTCCAAAAGTTTTTGCTTTAATTCTGCAAAGCACATTTCCTTTTATTTAAATTTTGGAGTTTTCTTTTAAGGTGGAATATGGTTACCTCAGACACTTTGCGTTTTAAATCTATAAAAATCGATAAAAGGCTGCAACAAAGTTTCCGAAAACCACGTTTTTTTTACTTTTTATATGGAAATCCGATTTGGAAAAGGCATACTTCTAACATTTTCAAAAGTCTTTTCTTGACATTTTTATGAAATTTCGAAAAAATGGCTTTGCTATAAAATGTCCCCAAATCCTTAAATTCAAGCAACAATAGTTTTATTTTAATAAATCAGATTTTAAAGAGGTAAAGCAACTTGATCACCAAAAATCTTAGTTTTTAATATTCGATCCTGTAAATTGGATAAATGCATAAATTGTAAGCTTTTGCGAGCTCAGAAAATGCTAATTTTTCAGTGAAGCAAAAATGTATTTTTAGTGTCATGGCATACAATTTCTCGTTTGTCGGTTGCATAATGTAAAAGTTAAAAGTCGTCGCCTTTCGAAAGAAAAGCCAGGAAAAGAAAAGCCAGCCAAAGAAACAAGGACAAGAGCAATCAGAAGAGACGTTAAGCTCAAGCCACAACATTTTCGGCTGGACAGGGGAATATAAACGGGAATGGAGTGTGTGCGTGTGTTAGTACTTTGGCTTTGGCAACAATGTGCAGAACGTTGAAATTATGGCCAAGCATATTGCAACATTCTTGTTGGACAATAAAATTCAAGTTTATTACCAAAGCCATCCGAGAACAACAACAAGCGGCAGAGCAGAAGTGCAGAAGTAAACAAATGGATCGGAATGAAAGGCCAACAAGGGTCTGGGCCAAGTGCCACTGTTGCCAAATTTCAGCTTAACAAATATTGGCAAATAAATTTACCACCGAAGAAAGGGAACACTAAAGGAGTCCAGATTGAAGTCGTTGCTTGCCAAATTTGTTTCCAAGGCAAAGAGAAAGATAAATGCAAACTATCAAGTGCTATGTTTGAATAAAATCATCTTTATTTTTAAAAGTGGATGCCAAAAAATTAGCAGGGTTCAAAAAAAGCTACAATATTCGAACTTTGCTGCTATGATGGTTATAAATCCAAATTAAATTTCAGACAATCTGGCAATGCAAACCTGTCAGAAATATTTGTTTCTTATAAAAATTGATAAAACAAAATCCTGTGTAATATTTGTAATATCTGACCTATTTTTTTAACACAAAAAAATTATCCAATTTTTTGTTGTCAATATTTGTGAAGAATATTTTTTAATATTTAAACCCCTGACAAATTTGTCATGAAAATATTACCATAAGATTAAAAAATTTTCATTACCGTCGCTGTATATGCCAATGTCAAAAATATTTGTATTCGCTTACAAAAATTTTGAAGTGTTCATATATTTCCCCCTTTTAAAGTTAGATAAATTTGCAAAATAATATATGCTAAAGTATTCCTACAATTTTATTTTGTTAAGATCAAAAAGTTTGGCTTAAATAACGTCCAAGTCCAGACTTCATTTGGAAAAGACCTTATGAAACATTTTGTCGCATTAAGTGCCCTATACCCACCTCCGATTTGATGACATTTGCCGCTTACTTGGCTATGCAATTTTTGTTTGCCAATTTCCGGTCCACTCTGCCCTCCACCCTGCAAACCGAGTAAACCCACTCTTCTGCTCGGAAAATGGCCATAAATCTGCGTGACCCGCTGGCCATGATTGCACATTGCACATTGGACATTGGACATTGGACATTGGATGGCCGTCAAACGGCAAACACAGCAACGCCAAAAGTGGCCACATAAGAGTGCCGCCATCTGCCATAAGCTGCCACGCCCCCATTTCAACTCATCCATCCCCATAGTTAAAGCCCCCATTTTCTGCGTGTTTGCGAAGCGCGTTAACGCGTTGAAAGCAGCGCTTAGAGGCAAATGACCGGCCGCCTTGTCATCCATTTCAATTTTGGTTGCAAAACGCAAAATCCCAAAAAGAAGACAGCCATAAATGCACAGATCGATGTTGGTAATACACTGAGTTATGGGACAAGTTGTAATAGTACCGAATTTAAATTAATTAAACCAATAAGAATAAAATGCTAAACATGATTTTTTACAAAATTATAAAGATTAAAGTTTTTAGTGAGTTTAAAAGTACCACATAAATCATTAGTTAATATCTAAATCAGAATATTTAAAATCAAAGCAACATTTTGGTAAAAAAAAATTTGTAAATATATTCTTTATAACTTATTCACAAAAAAATTAAAAATATTTTTATTCATAGCAAACTCTATGGTAAAGTCAATAAACCCTGTTTTTATAAAGTTGTCGAAAAAGCGAAACGCTGACAAAAGTTGGCTCCCATTGTCGATTAATATGGAACGTTGTTCCCCTCTCCTCACAAAGATGAAATGCGTACCTCACAAATACGAACACACACTTTTGCAAATGGGTGGCGGCATCTGTCAGGATGATGGCACTTCCTGGGCACAATGAAACATCCGGCAGATATTCCAGTTTCAGTTTCAGTTGCAGCTGCATCGTGTACACTCAGAGAAAAATGGTTTTGTTATCACTTTGGACCGCATTGAGAATGTGCGGGAGGAAACTTTTTCATTAGAAAATGAGCAGTCCACATAGCGAGAAATGCCACTGATAATGGGCGGGATTAAGAAAATCATTTTGTAATTATTTAACTTAAAACTACTTTTTTTCTGTGTATATATATCCACTCATTATAGAAATGTGAGGGGAAAACCGGGACAAGGGAACAAAGGAATGTCGTTCTTTTCATGCCATTTTCATAGGCTTTTCAATTGTTTTGTTGCCGGGAAATTTAAAATGTTACCGTATGTGTGTGCGTGTGTGGGTGCAAAAAGTAAGTGCCAATGACTTTGATAATTAATCGATAAGAGTGCTTAGCGGCAATTGAATGATTGAAATTGTTGAAGTATTTAGCAAACATTTCGTTAATTAACTGCTAATGTGTATTTTAATTAAAGCTTTATTTTTTGATTTGCCTATTTATTTATTATCATTTATCAATGGTCAATTATTACTGAAGAGAGCATTTTAATATTCAAAAAGAAACACGTTTTCATGAAAATTTTGTCCAGTAACGCATATAGTTAAACCTGCCATTGATAGTAAATTTTCTAGTGCTATTGAAATCTAGTGAATACTTTTAATTACAGAACTTTTGTGAATCGGTGACAAGAGTTTGGCCCCTGGTTCTTATCCTGCCAACCCTTTGAATGGCTTTGCCTTCGTGTTTAA